AATCTGGTTTATCACAAGCGCCGAGTCACCATACACGTCTAGGTTCTTGATTCTCAAATCAATCGCCTCTTCTAGACCCATAATGCATGCTTCGTACTCCGCTTCATTATTGGTGACTGGAAACGTCAGTCTCGCAGTGAACGGGATGTGGGATCCGTGGGGAGTCGTGATGATCGCCCCGATACCACTTCCGTAAGAATTAACCGCCCCGTCGAATATCAATTTCCACTGGGATTTCCTATCTGGCCCCTCGTCGGGCAACCGTTCATCGCAATCCTTTGCTTTGAGAAACATGATATCCTCATCAGGGAATTCAAATTTCATCGGCTGGTAATCCTCGATCGGCTGTTCGGCAAGGTAATCAGACAGTACGCTTCCCTTGATGGCCTTCTGAGAAACATATTGAATATCATATTTCGTCAACACCATTTTCCATCTGGCAATCCTGCCCGAAAGAGCCTGCTTCTCGAAGACGTACTTGATTGGATCCATCTTCGAAATTAGCATGGTGGTGTGATTGAGCATGTACTGTCGTAAACGTTTGGCAGCTCAGGCTAGTGCACAACACGTCTTCTCCAGCATCGAGTAGCGAGATTCACAGTCCGTGAACTTCTTACTCAAGTAGTAAATGGCATGCTCCTTTCTGCCCGTCTCGTCGTGCTGACCGAGAACATACACTACAAGAAAATTAGAGTTTTACGACACAAAAGTTGCGACAGTTACTTGATAACTGTCGTAACTCTAATATAGAGACGCGTTTCATGACAGTATACACCTACCGTCCTTATATTTTTAAAAGATTATTAAATATTGCGACTGTTATCATTAAGCCGTCCTACAAATAAGTTCATGACTGTCTCAAGTGCCGCCCTAAATTTTATGTCCCGACGGTATAACAACTGTCGCCCCTTAAACCCAGTAACACAAACTATAACCAATAGCGGATCTAAATAAGTCTATGTATTTTAAATAAATAAATGACTAAAATCATTTATAAAATATAATTATAGTAATAAATTAAACTTAAAATACATAAAAATGAAAATATTATATATACTCAAAATAAACTTTAATTTTAAAAACAATTTTTATAGTAAAAATTAAATTCAAAATATTATATCCAAAATTAAAATATTAAAATTAAACTATATATCAAAATTTTAGAAACAATTTTTATAATAAAAGTTAAATATAAAATTAAATTATATATACTCATAATCATAATATTATAAAATACTAGATAAACAAAATAATTCAGTCAAAATAGAGAAATAAAAAAAATATTAAAATAAAACGACTGGAGCTACCGTCGTTAGTTCAATCTTGTGACGGTAATATCAACCGTCGTGCTCCAATGTTTCGTCTTCCCGCAAAAACTCAGCCACGTATTTTTCACTTAAGAATTTGCCGCTCACGTTCTTGGAAAAAGAGGGAAGGGAAACTGACATTTTTCTCAACCTGAAGCTGTCATTGCGAATCACCGAATCACCCTCAAAACAACCACCATCAATTCAAATCTTTACAGGTTTGTCTTCTCAAACCCTGAATCGGATTTTGGTTTGGATTTTACTCTGAATTTTGTATTTAATTGGTTTTGATTAAGCATTATGTGTTAGATTTCTCTGCTTGAGAGTTAAATTTGTGTAAAAAAATGGATTATTTATCTGTGTGGACGTGTCGGATCGAGTTTCTTGATGTTGAAGGGTTGCAGTAGCAAATTCTGGTATAGGACCTTTATTTGAAATCTTGTGTGCTGTTAATTCAATGGTTTTGTCCTGAGTTGATGTCAGGTTCGATTTTGTTTTCGGTGATCATGTCTAGCTGCGGCGGTTGCTTTCTCTATTGTGCTTGTTGTTTGATTGAGTCATTTGCTTGTTTAGGAGTTTAAACTATATTTTTGATACATTGTTTATAATTCAGAACAGGCTTCATAATTTCATAATATACTTGCGATTTAAATTGAAATATCGGGTTATGTTATTTTAGACTAGATCTTTTATAGAATTTTTTTGAGAAAGATATAATTTTTCATAGTAGCCAAATTAGTGTTGAGATAGAAAAATGGTAAAGTGAGAATCACTGAATTCAACTACTGCTTCGGTGAGGATTTCTAGTTCATCGATAGAACCAACAGTATCAAAGAAATCATCTATAACTGTGATTATAATTGCAGTTTTAGCTATAAGCATTCGAACGTAAGAGTCATGAGGGAGGGATGTTAAACTTGCAGCAACAGCAAAGTAACAATAAGTGCTTTTTTCTCTGCCGAATCCCATATTACTCAAACCACACTTTTCAACCCACCTACATATAGAAATCAAATGTAATCATCCACTAAGATTCGTATGAATAAGATTCAGATCAAACTAATTATTGGAAATTTTAGTATACCTCTTAAGTTCATTAAGTTATCAGCTTGTTTCCCATATTTATCAGCTTATTAAATCAGCTTGTTTAAATCAGCCTCCATATTTGTTTAGTTGATTTATGTCCTGCAGTAGAATATAATCAGGTTGCATGATTATTTCTGCCGGACCTCCTTGATTAGTAGCAATCTAAATGCTTCATACAAAGCAGGTTGCACAAAAGCTCCCTTTGTATCAGCAATGCAGCGATACAGCTCTCCGTTGCGAAATCGATCAGTCTGTGCAGTAATCCATCTGAACTGGCCCTTTAGTTGATACTTTTGAATTAAATCATGCATCTTCTTTATTTCTGCCATTTCCTCTCTTAACATCAAATCATTAACACCTCACATAGTATTGACTTTGGCCGAAAAGGAAAACCATAAGGATGTTGACAAACTAAAAAATTTGACTTTGGCCGATGTTGACAAACTAAAAAATTTGATTTTACACAACGCTATAGTATTGACTTTGGCCGAAAAGGAAAACCATAAGGATGAGGTCATCCCTAAAAATGTTCAGCATTTCTGGATCTCTTGTCCTGCCAATGATAAGTTGCTCTACATCCTAACTATGTTGAAGTTGGAGTTAGTCCAAAAGAAAGTTTTGATATTCACTATTGTACATCCTTGCTATGTTGAAGTTGGAGTTAGTCCAAAAGAAAGTCTTGGTTATACGACATCTCATACGACTCCTAAGTATTAGTACCAATCCTCCAACCAACATGATTCTTTTCAGTAAGATTATTTTAAATCGCATGATTCTTTCCATGTGCCTATTAAATCATAATGGTAAGATTTAGGACATTTACTAACCGTCTGACTTAGTCATCCCACCTTGAGAAAAAATGTTTTATGGGATATTATCATTTCCCTTCTTCATGACTCCATGACATGACTATTCCCATTAAATCATACTGAGGACATGAAAAAGATATTAAACTCTAGAACATCTTGAATATCTTGTCAAGTTGATAAAGCTGAAAAGGATTTGGTGTAGCTTTGACTTATGCCCCTTGACATAGTAGCTTCAAGGTCAACAGCTCAGCAAAAATGCACCCCATGACCCACTTATCAACATTACTTGTACAATTTTTGCTCAAAGAAGCAACTGAGGTGCACTGCTGTTCTTGATCTTGCTATGCATATTTGTTTAGTTGATTTATGTCCTGCATTAGAATACAATCAGTAGTGCAGATTTGAATCCCTTAGAACGTGACTAAATGTTGCAGTTTGGATCCCTTAGAGCAGGATTGAAATATCTATTTTATATGTAAGTTTAGCAAGTTTACAGCAGCTAATTAACAGTAATTGCATGAGTTAACCACTAACTTTTGAGTCAGCTATAAAATATTTCAAGCACTTGAGAAAGAAATAGAGATAGTAACAAACATTATGCTAAAATGAATGAGCATCGATAGATAGATAGTAACAACAAAAGACAGAAACTCCATTCTGGAAACCAGTAGAAGTACATACCATATCACTCCACATTGCTTGCGTAGTATTTTAACGAAATGATTATATATTCAAATGGGAAGACAGCATGTCATGACCTTACTTGAACAGGATTTGTTCTATAGGCTCGTACTAATGCTGTTCTTGATCTTGCTATGCATATTTGTTTAGTTGATTTATGTCCTGCAGTAGAATACAATCAGTAGTGCAGATTTGAATCCCTTAGAACCTGACTAAATGTTGCAGTTTGGATCCCTTAGAGCAGGATAGAAATATCTACTTTATATGTAAGTTTAGCAAGTTTACAAAAGCTAATTAACAGTAATTGCATGAGTTAACCACTAACTTTTGAGTCAGCTATAAAAGATTTCAAGAACTTGAGAAAGAAATAGAGATAGTAACAAACATTATGCTAAAATGAATGAGCATTGATAGATAGATAGTAACAACAAAAGACAGAAACTCCATTCTGGAAACCAGAAATTGGGAATTATTCTTCATGGTTTCCTCCCGGCAATTCGTATTCTGCAATTACTGATAGATTCTGTTACAAACATCCCTCATGGCAATAGGATGATGGCTCTTCAAAGCAATTTATTTAAGAAATCAGCTTCAGAGCATGTATTGAACCTTCACCAGAGTCTTTCGAATGCCAAACATCCCCGATAGATTCAGTTACAAACATCCCTGTTTCAGCTTCTTGAGCTGCAACTTTTTCCTTAAAGCATGTTTCAGATCTGAAAGAAAGAATGCTTTCTATGAAAATAACCACAAGAGGAATGTTGACCAAGCAGTAAGTGTTATGGCCGCAGCACTATAAGTCCATAACAGAATAACTGAACACTTTTCATTTCCTACATCAAACAATTGCGCCAGAGTACCTGCATAACATATTTCATTAAATTTTAAGTTAGAATTTTGGACCAATAATATTATTATATATGCATGAATGAATCTAATTACTTACTAATATTCATTGCTGGTGGCATTGCATATTGCATAACTAGAGTGTACTGAAACAAAGGATCCACAGGGAGAAGGCCGAAATTCGCCGCGGCTTTAACAATAAACAATCCAATAAGAGGTAGCACGAAAAGCCGAGTTATGATGATGCTGATGAGGTAGCACCAAATGCACATTAATATGAAAATAACCACAAGAGGAATGTTGACCAAGCAGTAAGTGTTATGGCCGCAGCACTATAAGTCCATAACAGAATAACTGAACACTCTTCATTTCCTACATCAAACAATTGCGCCAGAGTACCTGCATAACATATTTCATTAAATTTTAAGTTAGAATTTTGGACCAATAATATTATTATATATGCATGAATGAATCTAATTACTTACTAATATTCATTGCTGGTGGCATTGCATATTGCATAACTAGAGTGTACTGAAACAAAGGATCCACAGGGAGAAGGCCGAAATTCGCCGCGGCTTTAACAATAAACAATCCAATAAGAGGTAGCACGAAAAGCCGAGTTATGATGATGCTGATGAGTGTCAATGGTTTTAAATTTAAGCCGAAATTCGCCGCGGCTTTAACAATAAACAATCCAATAAGAGGCCTTAAATTCTATTCTCCGTGACATGAAATATGCAACTAAACTAAGTAATGTAGTGACAGACATAACTGTCAATATGTTTTCTATGGCATTCAAATGAGAAGTTTATTTCATTCAAAACAAGAGTGGCAAATTGTTCAGAAATGGACTCAGAACTTACTAGAATTTCTCAATTAAATAAGTTAATAGATATTCAACTTATGAAGAGTCCTTTTAAATTTATAGATATTTTGGAAGAAGGTAAATTAGGGAATAGGATATGATATAAGTAATATCCTGTTAATGTAACTTAATAAATTGTTTTTGCAGATTATAATTTATTTGTTGACAATGATGTAAAAAATAATATTTGTATTTAGAGTGTTTGTTTTTTTTATAGGATTTGCTTTGAACTTTATTCTTGTATCTATCTATGTCTATTTTTTGAAGAAATGGATAAGTCATGGATTACTAAGCCACAGTCATCGATTGCATATCAGCAAGGGATAAAAGAATTTATTGATTTTGCATTTAAAGGTGCAAAAGAAAATGACGTAGTAATATGCCCTTGCAAACACTGCGGTTTCAAAAAATCAAAGAGTAGGAGTGACATGTTCGACCACTTAATGTGGTCACCATTTCCGCAGTGATACACCATGTGGATTCATCATGGAGAGTCCTTTGTTGTACCTAGTACTATCTCCCCTAGTACTACTCAAAATATGGTTGAAGATACTATCATTTTCGAAGATCCTATTCATAACATGATCAATGATGCATTTGGAGTTGATATGAATCATGCTAATGAAATACCATCTGCGTCAAATTTAGAGATTGTCCAAGAAGATTATGTGATGCTAAGTGCAACTCAGGAAAGAAATGAAGCCAAAGAGTACTATGAATTGACTAGAGAAGGAGAACAACCTTTGTATGAAGGGTGTAGACGATATTCAAGACTATCTTTTTTGGTTAAGTTGTACCATATAAAGTGTTTATGTGGATTGAGTGAGAAGGCAATGACAATGATTTTAGAGTTAATTAAAGATGCATTTGAATGTGCAAACATTCCAGGTTCGTTCCATGAAGCCAAGAAATCAATCACAAAACTTGGTTTGAATTATGTAAAGATACCTGCATGTCCAAACGGTTGTATGCTTTATTGGGGAGAAGATGAAGAAAGGGAGACTTGCAAAAATTGCAACACGTCAAAATGGAAAACAAATGAAGCGGTCTTTGTTAACAAGAAAAAGAAAAAAATTCCTGCCAAGGTTCTTCGTTATTTTCCATTAAAACCTCGATTACAGAGATTATTTTTGTCATCAAAGACGGCAGAGGATATGAGATGGCACGCAACAGATGCTAACAACGATGGAATGTTGAGGCATCCTAGAGATTCAGAAGCTTGGAAGAAATTTGACTTGACACATACTTAGTTTTCATCAGATCCGCGAAATGTGCGTCTTGCATTGGCTAGTGATGGTTTTAATCCTTTTGGTGTGATGAGTACAAACAATAGTATTTGGCCAGTTATTCTCATTCCATATAACACTCCTCCATGGGTTTGCATGAAACAAACATCATTTATAATGTCGATGATAATTTCTGGAAAAGAAGCACCAGGAAATAATATTGATGTCTACTTACAACCCTTAGTCAAAGAGCTGAAAGAGTTATGGGAAAATGGCGTGGATACATACGATTCTTTCAAGAAAGAGATGTTCAAGTTGCATGCAAATTTGATGTGGACGATTAGTGACTTTCCAGGTATGGGCGCACTTTCTGGGTGGAACACATACACAGGGCTTGCTTGCCCATCGTGTAACTTTCAAACTACACCCCTTCGTCTTAAAGCTAGCCGTAAATGGTGTTTTATGGGTCATCGTCGTTTCCTTGACCGGAGACACAGGTTTAGATTGAACAGGATCCGCTTTAATGGTGAACAAGAAATACGGAGTCCACCGAGAACATTATCTGGACATGAAGTTTTTGAACAGGTTAAAGATATTGAAGTCATCTTTGGTAAAAAGTCAGTGAGAGAAAAATCACTAAAAAGAACATTTGAGGGACAACCTATAGAAGGTGATAGTACACAGTGTGATCCTACACTAGGTCATCCTCAACAATGGAGAAAAAAGAGCATATTTTTTGAACTTCCGTATTGGAAGGATAATCTTCTGCGCCATAATCTTGATCCAATGCATATTGAGAAAAATGTGTGTGATAATGTCCTATTTACTTTACTAAATGATAGGCAAAAAAGTAAAGACAATTCTAAAGCTAGAGATGACCTTCAAAACATGGATATAAGACCCGATCTTTGGCCTGATGAAAATGGTAGAATTTCTCCGGCAGCCTTTACTTTAATGGGTAAAGATAAAAGGAATTTTTTAACAACTTTAAGGAATATTAGGGTGCCTGATGGTTATTCGAGCAACATTTCTAGATGCATTGATTTAGTAAATCTCAAGGTGAATGGAATGATGAAGAGTCATGATTGTCATATATTAATGGAACAACTCCTACCATTAGCCATTCGCAACACATTACCTCATGAGATTTCAGCAGTTTTGATTGAGTTGTGCTCATTCTTTAGACAATTATGTGCCAAGGTATTGAAAATTGAAGAATTGGAAAAATTGCAAAACCAAATTGTCCTTACTTTATGCCACATGGAAATGTTATTTCCTCCCTCGTTCTTCACGGTTATGGTTCACTTGGTTGTTCACCTTGTTGAAGAAGTTAAACTTGGAGGTCCTGTTCATTATCGATGGATGTATCCTATTGAAAGGTAAACTATGTGATTTTATTTTATTGTTACTAACTAATAAAGTAGAAAGATTTTTTTAACCGATAGTATTGTGGTTCAATAATAGATACTTGGGAAAACTTAAATCGCATGTACGTAATAAGGCAAATCCAGAAGGGTCTATTGCAGAAGGATACCGTTTTGAAGAGATTCTTACATTTTGTTCAAGATATCTAGAAAATATTGAAACTAGATGGAATCAACCTGGACGTGTAGATGATGACCCTATTGGTGATATCCAAACAGGATCACGTGTAGCCAAATTATTTCCTATATTTGGAAAACCCGTGGGTGGATCTTCTTATTACACCCTAACACCAATTGAAAAGTTGCAGGCTCATAGACACATTTTAACGAATTGTCCAATAGTTGACGACTATCTAAAGTAAGTAGGTTTATGCCATTTAAGTAGTTTCATTTGCATTATTAATACTTTTTTTTTACATCTAATATCAAATAACCAAATAGGCAGTTCCGAAGTATTACTCAGAATCAACTGAAGCGCAGTCAAAGAAGTGCTGCTGAGATAGATAAGAAGGTTCATAGAGAATTTGCTCACTGGTTCCGCAATCGTGTGAGTTTTTGTACAAAAATAGATGTTTTAATTGAATTGGATTTTAATAATAACAAGACTAATTAGATGTTGTATCGTGTATAGATTTGCAACAATCTTGACAACATTCATGGACCAGATAAAGATGTTCTCATTAGCCTTGCTTATGGCCCTTTTGATAAAGTTAAAAGATTTACTGCGTTCAATGTCAATGGATTCAAATTTCGAACATTGGAACGAGATAATCTTTTAAAAACTCAAAATAGTGGCGTTTTTGGCTTGTTTGGGACGCGAAGTTATTCAAGCAATAGTGATACCCAAATGAGATTTGGAGGGGTCCCTTACTATGGAAGATTGGTAGACATTATTGTGCTTTCCAACGATGGCTTCACAGTGCCCATGTTTAAATGTGAATGGGCTAATACCACAAACCCAAGAGGCATTAAGATAGATAAGTTGGGTTTTACTTCTATAAACTTTACAAAACTACTACATTTTGGGGAACATGAAGATAATGAGCCGTACATTCAAGCGTCAGAAGCTCAGATGGTTTTTTATGTGGATGATGAGAATGAACAAGGGTGGAGCATACCTGTTCATTTGAAGCCAAGAGACTTGTATGACATGGGTGGAAATGATGAAATTATGTCACCCATTGAGCCATATCCATCACAAAATTTGGAACAAATTTTTCTGAATGATGATATTGGAACTTCATCAGCAAATGATAACAATAATTAACATATAGTTTTTTTATTGATAAGAAATTTAGTTTGTTGCGATAATTAACATTATTACTTTATGTTTTTTTTGTTGTTTATCCATAATTAATGCGTGAGATGACATTACTATTCTATATTTTATTGCATAAATTATTCTTTTAATTTATTGTGTTTGCATTATGTTTATTAAATTTATAGTCACTAATATAAAATTTTGATGTTTACTATTATTAGTGTATTGTCTTTTTAATACATATACTTGCAGTTAAAGCCTTTTGTGAGACAATGATTTCATCATATGAGGAAATTCGCCTCAAAAGGATTGCAGAGAATAAGAAAAAGCTAGAGGCTCTCAATCTTCCAAAGCTCTCTCAATCCCTTCACAAAACACCTTCGTCTTCTTCCAAACCATCACCGGTTAGTAATAAATTCTCAATACTAGTCTATAAAAATTAATTGTATTAATTGTTGATTGATATTCACTGATGTATTTTATTTAGCCTGTGAAGGGTCGTCCGAGGTTTGTACAACCTGGAGAGCTTGAAGTAAACAAGAAGCGCATACGTTCAGCTACAATGTGCAAATCATCAATAATCCCTCCGCCAATCAAAACTACAATAACTCTTCCGTCAATCCAAACTAAAATTACCCCTATGCCAATTGAAACTACAATAACGCATTTGCCAATACAAACTACAAAAGATGTTGTGATAGAAGATGAGGATGAAGATGTTGTGGTAGGAGACGAGACCGAAGATGACGTGGTAGGAGATGAGGTTGAAGATGTTGTGGTAGGAGATGAGGCTGAAGATGTTGTGGTAGAAGATGTGACTGAAGCTGTTGTAAAAGTGGCTAAATCTGTGTATTGGGATGTAAATGTCATTAGTAAGTAATTTAAGGTTAAAGTATTTGTAAATAATTTAATTTTTTTACATAGTTGAGTTATGACACTAATTTGCTTACTTGTTTATGTGATAGATGAGGAAGGTTATGTTTCAAATACACGTTTATGTGTGAAAGACTTGGTTGCAAAATCAAAGTCTGATGGAACATGGATAATACTTGAATTTGATAAGGATCATTGTGCAATAGGACCAGCTTCTGGTTTGTTAGCAGGGTATTTAGGTATAATTATTAGAATGTTTAAAGACTTTCCCATAATGTTTGAGAGTTGGAAGGATATTCCAGCGGATACAAAAACAAAGTTTTATGATTCAAAGATAAAGGTATCATTAATAAACAATTACATATTTTTTAAATTAATTTCAAGGTGATTATTATTTGCTTTGTTAACTAATTTTTATTTTTATGGTTAGCTCCACTTTCTTGTTGATGATGGGCGTGACAAAGAATTCATACTTGCTTCTGCTGCAAAGAAATGGAAGGATGGCCGACATCAATTGTTTCGCAAATTTTATAAATGGGATCTCAGTTTGGAGGAAAATCTTCAAAATTATCCAATATGCAGAGGCATTCTGGAAAATGATTGGGCTGTTTTTGTTCAATATAGGCGGAAAGAAAAAACACAGGTAACATTAGTGCTTTTATTTGTTAGATTTATCTGGGTTGTATGTTATCCCTATCTATAACACATGTTTTTAATTGTTAACTATGTAGAAAATAGCTCAAAAAAATGCCCAAAATAGAGCAAAATTGAAGACTCCACATACACTCGGATCTAAGTCGCTTGCAAGGAAGAAACATGAGTTGGTATGTCTAAATTTATATATATTTGAATGTATTACTGATGGTAAAAATAATTAATATATTTTCTTATTCGTAGGAATCGAGAGATGGACGAACATACAGTAGAGGAGAAATGTATGCAGTTTCTCATAAAACGTCTGACGGGTCTTTTGTCAGCGAAGATGCATACAATAATAATGTAAGTACAAGTTAATTCTTTTTAAATATGTGTTAGTCTCCTTAAGGTATGAGAAAAAATCAAACCTTTTAGCATCTCTTAAAGATGGGGAGAACCTGTCTGAAATCTGATTAAATTAGATTGAGAATTGTGATTATTTGAGTTAATTAATTAGTCTTGTAACAATAGATTGTGCTCTTTATAAAGTCAACTAATTATTCAGACAAATAGAAATAAAATATAAAATTAAGACAAGATTACGTTTTATATATGATGTGAAAACATATAATTCTACTAGTTACATACTTGTGTGCCTTAGATGAGAATAGTTGGTAAAATATATTTTCACTAAAGCATAACTTATCTGGCACCACTTTAAATAATCATACTGGAATTGATTAGCATGGCTTTAACTTATGATGCCATATATCGTTTTATATAAGATGGAACATTTGTTCAGTGCGTGTGGGCAAGTCAACCCTGTTAATCAAGTTGTTCTGCTGAACCGTAGTAATACTACTAAGGCAGAACATCCATGGCAGTAACATTTGTTAAAAAAAATTCCCTATAATCTTTAATATTCTTAATCAAGTTGATCTATACGGGGTTGACTTGCCCACACGCACTGAACATGTAGTTTAATTTACTGCTCTAGAATTCTTCTACCTTATCCCATGAGAAATTGAAAGGAAAATATATTTTACCATCATAAGTTATTCTTTAGTGAAAATATGTTATCTGACATCACTTTAACTTATCTGGCATCACTAAAGCATAACTTATCTGGCAAAAACCAATGCTCTTTATGTCCTACAAATATGTTATTGGAATTGAAATTTACCATCACAAATGCATATTGGAATTGAAATTTTAAATAATTCGAGCAGCCAATAAAACTTATTGGAATTGAAATTTACCATCACAAATAGACTAACTAGCTAAACTAAGTTTTAAATTACTAAACATCTTTTTCATCAATACCAATTTATCAGTTTTTGCTTATAATCATTGTTTGTTTCCCCTTAAGACGTAGGAATTTTTTTTATTAGTTAGATTAAAAAGTTAAGTTAAGTTTGCTTGCTCAATTTACTCTTTTTCATGTGCAGGAAAAGTTACGAGCTGCAATTAAGGATTCTGTGTCTGAAAATGAGGCATTTCAGAAAGTATTTGGAAAAGAACAACATGGATATGTTCGTAGTATGGGACTTGGAGTTACGCCATCTCATATTAATAGATCTACAAGATCGGCATCTTCTTCTGCAGAAAATGAAAAAATAAAGGAAATGCAGCAAGAAATTATTGCACTTAAAGAAAAAAATTCAAAAATTGATGAATTGATGGAGGCAATCACATTCTTAAAGCAAAGAGACAATGCTATGAAAGAAGAAATTGAAGTCTTAATGCAAATGCAAAATTCTACTGGAAGACAGGTATATTATTTTGATGAATTTAAAGTTAAAGCTTCAGAGTATTATTTTAAAGAATATTATTTTAATATAATTTTTTTCCAGGGATTGGAATCACCTACTGATGGTAGACGTTCATCTGAGTCTAGCTACCGAATTCCATAATGACATACTTTCTAGATTATGAACCTTCTTATTCATTTTTGGCACAATGATACTTATTGTTATAAGATTATGATTTGATATGTTTTCGGATTTTTGTATTACAAAACATGATTATGGAACTTTCATTTTATATGATTATGAAACTCACGGTTTTTCGATATTATAATGTTTATCTGATATTAAGTTTTGGAATTAATTTTACTACGTTAAAAAGCGATAGAAAAAAATTATAAATAAAAATATTATTGTATAAATAATTTAAAGAAAAAATAATATAACTATTTTAGTAGATAATAATTTAAATAAAATAATATATTATAAAATAATATAATACAATTAATACAAATTAATAATGAACTTTCAAGATATCACATTCACGACAGTTTTAAACCGTCACAATCAACAACGGTAACAAAAATCAAAAGGATATTCACGACAGTATTTAACTGTTGTCATTTCCAATTTATGTCAGTTCCAACCAGTCGTGAAATAGAGTTCACGACAGTTTTAAACCGTCACAATCAACAATGAAAATAAAAATCAAAAGGATAGTAACGACGGTCTTTAACCGTCGCCATCTCCAGTTTAGGTCAGTTCAAACCCGTCGTGAAATATAACGACGGTTGTGTGTGACGGTTTTTTCAACCGTCGCTAAACAGCCTGGGGACACACGTTTCTGCGACGGTACTACAACCGTCGTAGAATGTAATTGATGGTGGTTTTAACCGTCGTAACCTGTCAAAATAACCGTCGTAATCCATCGTTTTTCTTGTAGTGACACCCCATACTATTCTCCAGAACTGTCAAGTACATGATTAGTGGCCGTCCAGCCACTGGGGGTATCAAGATTGGAGGTTCTTGAAGATACTGCTTTATCTTGTCGAATGCCTTCTGGCAATCCTCGTTCCAGGTAATTGCCTGATCTTTCTTTAAAAGCTTGAACATCGGTTCACACGTGGCCGTGAGCTGGGAGATAAACCTTGCAATGTAGTTTATTCTGCCCAAGAAACCACAAACTTCTTTTTCTGTTTTTGGCACTTGCATTTCTTGTATCGCTTTAATCTTCGCAGGATCAACCTCGATGCCTCGTTCGCTCACGATAAACCCCAGTAACTTTCTGGACCGTACTCCGAAAGTACATTTGTTAGGATTCAGCCTCAACCTGAACTTCCTAAGCCTCTCAAAAAGCTTCAGCAAATTGACCAGATGTCCCTCCTCCGTCTGGGACTTCGCAATCATGTCATCAACATAGACTTCAATCTCATGATGAATCATGTCATGAAACAAAGTTACCATAGCTCATTGGTAAGTGGCCCCTGCGTTCTTCAGACCGAAAGGCATTACCTTGTAGCAAAATGTTCCCCAGGGAGTGATAAACGTCGTTTTCTCCATGTCCTCCGGCGCCATCTTGATCTGATTGTAACCGGAGAAGCCATCCATGAACGAAAACACGGAGAACTGGGTTGTGTTGTCGACCAACACATCGATATGAGGCAGCGGGAAATCATCTTTAGGGCTTGCCCTGTTCAAATCCCGATAATCGACGCACATGCGTACCTTACCGTCCTTCTTCGGTACAGGAAC